TTTCATTTTTCCCTTTTATTCTACTTTGTGTGCGTTAATTTGCGTTATCTTAACAACAATCTCAGCAATTCTCGTTCCATAAATTTAGCCTGTACCATTCAGTACCTCCTCTTTTCCTCCGAAAACAAAGTTGTACACATACACAACACACACTATGCGCATAGGCTACACACACACACACCCCAAACAGTCAGCGATAAAACCAACCTCACGTCGCCTAGTAACGTAGCCCTTCACGCGCTACAGAAAAGCAGGCAAGCCACAGGGTGGGACAAAAGCCCAAAGAGGAAGTGCAATATCTTGGCAGTAGAGAATCTTTGGTGATAGTGCACTCATGAGACAAATGATTTTTTTAGAAGTTCAGCTCAGCCCAGGATTTACTTTGTTGACTTTGTAAGACACTTCCATGGGGGATACACATTAATTATATAATCTAAAACTAGATTGGGATCAAAATTTACATTGTAATGGGTCTTGGAAACTAAGATTAGAACTTATTTATTCAAGTCATTGCTTTTTTAAAAAACCCTTACTAAACTTACTTCACAACTTCATACTTCACAGTCACAGTCAAACACCAGCAGACCCCAGGCCCAACGTTGAGTTCCAAGTTTTACTGGACCAGTGTCATCCCAAGTCCTAAACAGCCCAAACCTACTCTTTGTAAACCAAAGCAGCAAAACGATAAGAGTGTCTGGATCAATATCCAGAAACTTTGAATTTGTGACAAGTGTGTTTGGCACTGCTGATGGCATGGGTCTTCAGACCCAGCTGATATAGATTCTACAGATTATCCTTGTCGAGAAAGTTTTCATAGAGTAGCCTACACAACCTCAAAAGAAACAAATAACTGCATTGGTGCAGTTACACAAAGTAGTTACAAACAACTTTACCTCTTCAACTTCTTTTGATTTCTGTCTTATGCCGAGCAAAGATAGCATTGTTAAAATAATATGTTTCAGCTTTATGGGTCAAGAGATCCCAAGAGGAAATTTATCATCAACATTGGCCGCCATACTGGTTTATTTTCTCCGAAACTGTCACTGTATCTACCTCTTCAGAATCAAGTTTTTGCTCATCATCGCATCCCATCAAAGCTTTGTACCTCCAAAATGTTATATATACATTTAAAGTTGCGATTATATGTTCATATTAATTATATTAAACAATCAAGCCCACAATGTTTACTTTGATTTCGTAAAATACCTCCATAATGTGGTTTAGATTGTATGACTCATTCTACAGTTAAAAATAGCAAAGGGGATTTCCCCCTGCAGCCTCCGCCCTGAAGACCTGGCTCTGTTAATAGTTAATAATTAGTCTGGGGCTTATTTAATTAGAATTTATAGCTTGCTGATTTTCATATGTCCACGTTGAGAAGTTCTGCTTGATTAAAATTTATTAATTGGCCAATGCACTCATACCTGTGCATGACACTCCTGTAGGCCAGCGGTCAAACGTAGTCTTTTTTTTTTTCATATATTGACCCAGTGATTAGAATTTTCTAATTTAATTGGGCCCTATAACTGTCCTTTCATGCACAGTCTATTGTAAACAAATAAATCTCAACAAAATGGTTTACAGTAGCCTAGGTGGTAATTCATTTTGTTGTAAGGTCCTTGCCAAGGCCACAAATTTCCGCCACCCTGCCCCCAAATTTCAATATAATCACAGCGATAGAGTTATATAGGCCTATATTCATATAATATAGTGCACTCACTATTTTTTTACAACTGTGTCGAAAATTAGCCGAAAGTCAGCCGAAAGGAAAACATAGTGTGAACAAAGTGGTTGAATGCAAACGTCATTTTGTTTTTGAGCCTAATTAGTAATTACAGTCCGGCTATTTAGGGAAAAGGTCCGCAATACACCATTTCGAAAGTGATGCTTATAATTAATATGAGAGTCGTTTTATAGTTTGTCTTATTTCCATCCTAATTAATCATGCAATGATATGATTCAATATGCGAATTGAATCAAGTGTGGTAAATACCAATATCTATAGCGCTCGCACTCCGGCAAAGATAATATGATCAAGACTTTTCCTAGATTTTTTAAAAAGTCATTGCAAAACTCTTATAATAATTGCTAATGAGTCAAGCACCATCGTCACAGACTAGATCTAAATCTTTTTTCCCTCAGGATGTAACAATGCTTGCAGGGCTTACTTGTGCCACTTATGCAAGCCCCCTTGAAGAATGTAGCCTTCCATTTTATAAAATTATATATTTCTTTCTGAAAATAAATTTGAGGCATTGCAATATATAGTTAATTAGGAACACCTCTAAACATGTGCGGAAATGTTGATACGTCCGACTCTGTCATCAACAGTGGGATTTAGATCAGTCATACTTAGATTTAAATATTACTTTAGGAAAACTACTTATTTTTCGAAAGACGGTAGCCTACGCCCTGCCTTTGACCCCCGATGTCTCGAGGCTATAGATCTACAAGACTAGTATGTAAAAAGAAGGAAAAAAACAAGAATAAAATAAAAACAAAACAAAACAAAACAAAACCCAAAACAAACTCGATTTTTTTCAGATAAACGTTGTATGCCTTTGAGCGCGGGAAGGGGGGGGGGTGCTGATAACGTTTAAAACTGACTCGACGAATATAATATGATAATATACATGATGTACGTGACTGTATTGGCAAGCTTGGAAAGGTGCCCAGAAACGTGGATGTGGAAGGTCCTTGAGTGCAGGAAAACATTGGGTAGTCGTGTCAGTGATAAGATAATCATGATCATAACACACGTAAAGGCTCTATATATAATATATATTATACTTCTTTCCACATGATACGTGTTTGAGACCATCGAGTGCGCCGTTGTATCAGATATATAGAAGACGCATTATAGTATCCTGGGCTTTGGGATGTCTTAAAAAGGAATCTAAAACATATTGTACCGTATCTTGAAACATTGCAGACAAGGCTGGGTTGTTTGTTGCTTTTTTGTTTGCTTGCTTGTTTCTTTTTGTTAGGGCTTTTTTTGTTAATTTGTTTGTTTTGTTTTGTTTGGTTGGTTTTTGTTGAGTTGTTGTTTGTTTTTATTTAGTCATCTTGGCGTAAAATAAGCAACTGTGGAAAAAACTGAGGTATGTAGCCTATATTAGGTGCGTATAATTATTCAGTGTTTTAGGCGAGTTTCCCACATCTGAGAAGCATACAAAATTTTCAGTTACTAGAAACTTCTGTGAAAACAGCGTAAATTGGAAATGACATGCACAAAAATAATTAACATTTAAAAAATGGTTTGTGTTGTCAAACAAAGTTTCCATAATAAAATAGCAAAAGTCCTACTTAGTAACACACTTTTTCTCATGGGATACACATCGCACATTTCTATCACTGGGTTGAGTTACAAGGTAACAATTTACTTTGCTAGGCAAAAGTTGAACACATTTTTTTAAATGAAATTTTCTTCGTTTTCCTAGGATTATATCGAAGTCGCCCAACTGGGTAGAATAATATATATTCTTTTTTTAAATAGCCTATATATTTCCTTATTCCCTTCAAATGCAAAATCGCCTGACGTTCTCGTTGAGGATCATAACTCAGTCAGATTTATTGTTTTAGTCTTCATGTATGATGTTGTACCTTCCTTAACCAAGAACAGCACCTGGACTAGGGCTGGGCAATGAGTCGCTTTAGCAAAATCCGGAAATAAGTCAGAGCACCTCTTTGGTAAATAATATGAAATGAACTTCTTCGGCAAAATGGTTAGAATTACCGCTTTGGCAAACGGAGTGAGCATTACTTCAACAAATGGGTGCACCCACTTCGGCAAATGAGTCAGGAAAGAGAGTTAAGAGTCTGAATTCGGTAATGTTTCATTGAGAATTACCCGGTTATCCGAATAGATTATTTGGATTTTGCCCACCTCTAACCTGGACATGGATGGCTAGTGTCTCTAAATAAATTATCGATGGTCAAGTCATAACACGTAAGTGGGACTATCCCCCCAAAAAGAGGAGTAAAATAACTGTAAAAGCAAACATATAATTAACAACTCCATATGGGGTGTTTAAACACCCATGTGGACACAATTTAGGTCGCAGGAATAAAGTACAAGTATGGAGAATAAAACGAAACAGCTCCACAGAAGAGTAAAAGTAAAGTAACCATTACGTGACGGATCCATGGAAGATTTCTTTTGGCATTCTCCCGTCTTCCACGCAGATGTGTCCTGTGATCTTCACGTTACATTATGCAGATATATATTGAAAAGTAATGTATGTTTACATTTTAAAAATTCCCTTGTAAGAAAATTCAATAACGTGAACAATCAACAAACTGCTAGTGATATTTCCCCTCAGTAGATAAAACTATAACATCAAAGCTGTCAAACCTATCGTCCCACGTTATGAGAAAATAAGGGAAACAATTACAAAAACTTAAGAATAATACAAATAAATGTATATTACTTCCCTTGGCTAGGCAGGAATACATTGGGTTGTCGTTGGCGTTGAGCATTGTTTGAGTGGCGGCGGCTGACAATAATAAT